GCGAGCCCCGCCAGCCTGCCCCCCCCCCCCGATGACCGCGCGCAGTGGGCCTGTTCAGCATCTGTCTCCCGAGCACCGTTCAAACCAGCCGAAAATCGTACGATTTTCGTCTGGTTTTCTAGCGTGCTCCTTAGACAAAAGACGTGCCACCGTACAGTAGAAACGGTCGCACGTCTTCGTTCACACTGCTCGATTCTCGTACGATCGCGGGATTTCCCACGATTCTTGTACGAGAATTGAGCAGTGTATGGGCACCTTTAATGATAGACCACATCATATATGTATTTTTTTATTTTACCCAAAGTTCTACTCTAAAGCTTTGTGAATTGAGCCCAATTATAATAAATAATCATTTTGAGGTTTAAATTATTATAAAGTCAGACTGACATGAGTGGCATTTATAAACATGTAGATGCTTATAGACCTTGCAGCTCTCATTTCTCCCTTTACCACTAGTTCTTTAATGTGTTTACCCTGTTCTGTTACCTTTAATATCGAATATTTAACTGATTTTTTTTTCTTTTAATATGTTAGGACTCCCCTCATCGCTGCCAGCGTCATTGGAGGGCTGTTCATTATAGTCATCATGGGTCTAACCTTTGCTGTCTACATACGTAGAAAAAGCATCAAAAAGAAGAGAGCCTTGCGTCGCTTCTTAGAGACAGAGGTGAGACCTCGCTGTCATGCACAGCACAATCCTCAAAATGTATTGCTTCGTGCTCTAATGTCAGCCATATTTTATGAAACTCTCATGCCATCAGGAGGTCTTAAGGCTTTTATAGTGTTCTTTATAGCAAAAGCTACTAGGATAATCTTGAGTTAAATAGTGCGTAATCATAGCAGTAGGTATTATACCCTTGTACAATATTTGCAGCTTTGCTATAATGACATTAAAATTATATTTCAATCAAATTCAAATCTGCAACATAGAAATACATAGCGGTAAAATGTCTAACCCACTTTTGTTTTTTTTTAATCTTGGGCATACTTGAGGACACTAGACCACCCTGCTTTAAAAATTCAGCTGGCCACTGAATTGGTGATCTGGAGACACCTTATTAGCGATTAACAAAGTTGAAATACTGTGGCTGCTGTAACTGGCATGGCTTTGTTTCTTAACGAAGTCATGTGCTCACTAGCTCAGCACTGGTGATGAATAGCTGTATTTATCAGCAAATCCATCACATTTCATTTTAAAACAAGATCCTACCAGTTAAAATGTGCAGGCATCTAGAGGCTCAATAGCTTGTATCTCCACCTAGTTTCTGACATTTGGGTCCACTACAGGCAGCTGTCAATCTGGGGATAATTGCTAAGTGATTAAAAGACTCCCAAAATATTTGTAAGACCTTTAGAAAGTGTAGAAACTGCCGCTGTAAGAAAGTTAAAAAAAGGTGCAAATGTTCCAGTTTTCAAAAACTGTTAAACAAAATAATTATGTAGATGAGTCTAGAACAGTTTTTCTCAACCTGTGCAACCTCAGAACCCACTTTTGTCCTCGGTCCTTAAGTGGTGACCCAAGTTGCACTGCGATGGAACGCACGGCATTGTGGTATCATGCATTCTGGTGCGGGCGATTGAACTGTGAGTGGGAGGTGTATTGGGGTACCATTCTAATGAATGGCAATGCAACACACCTCCCCCACCAGAATGTGTAGTAAGTGTAATTGCGTGGTACAGTCTGTTAATTGTACAGGATTGTTCGATTAACGCACTGAACTACTGTGAACGGGCCCCCAAAGATACTGATAGACACACGCAACCACAGATACAATCTCACACACACGTACGCACTCCCAACAAATTAAAAAAAAAAAATCTTTTCTTTTTTTTGATCCACCCAGTCTCCCTGCCTTATGAGCACTGGAGTGGATCATCAGCCTGGGGGCCAGTGCAGGGCTGCTGTGCTGTGACAGAGTTCCATCCATACATGCATTGCTTGTACTGCTCCCCTGCGTGCCCTGTAGAGGTGCTAGCAGCCACAATGTGACGCCACTCTGGTCCAGGCACCTCTACAGGGCGCGTGAGGGAGCTGTAAGCAATGCATGTATGGATTGAACTCCCTCGCGGCCATAGCTTCACCCCACCCCACCTCAAGCTGACACTCGGCGCCAAGCAGCATATTTTGAATGGCTGCTCAACGCGAGAACTGATATTGCTACACTAGGGCAGGCTGAGGAGCCTCTCACCTAGAAAAGTGGAATGCATGCAGTGACCCACTGAAAACGGGGTCGCAAGCCACTTTTGGGTCATCACCCACCAGTTGAGAACCAAGGGTCTAGAATACACTATGAATGCCATTTTGTTGGCTATATTTATGTTCTACAGTGTATAAACTAGTATTATTATTGCAAATGACTGTGGGGATATCAATTTGTTTCTTGTTTGTGTAGTAGAATGTAAACTTTAATTAAAAGTTCCTCTTCATGTTGCAAAGTTAAATCACACGCTGACTATTATATCGCTAAAAAACTTCAGTAGTAAAAGATTCCTCAAGTATTCCCTGTGCCACCCAAACGTCTCAGCTGTTTTCAAGATTATAGTGTCATACAACCCTCACAAATTCTCTACAGAACATGGTAAACAAATAAATGTCACATTCAGCTGTGAAAGAGTTTTGGGTAAGGTTTCCCTTAAGTAAGCACTGCACATGCCTTGATGGTTGTAATCATGAAGCGAACCTAGCACAGTATAAGAAAATTCAGTGCCAACAGAGTGTCAAAAGCTTGTTTCCCATTAAATATTTATGAAAGCAGCTTTGCCACTGCTAATCGGGAACATGACCTGGCAGGTTTCAAATGCATTTAAACAATATTTTTTATTACAATTATTACTAATGATTTAAAAATTGCCGTCATCCCACATAATATAGTAGAAAATAAGAGATACAAACAAGGGTAATATAACTAAATACCAAGATATAATAATATATCTGTCAACTGACATACAGCTGTATAGCTAAATATTTACAGCATGATACAACAACCTATACAAGATACAGCAGAAGTGAGAGATTTATGGGCTTACACAGTTGAGCTTAACAAGTAAGTCCAGTTCATTTAAGAAAATAATATATATATACACACTGCAAGGGTTTTAGTGTTTTTTGTTTTGTTGTGCAGACTCCAATAATTCAGCATTTTTCAACCTTTTTTCAGCCACGGCACCCTTAAAAATTATGCAAAATGTTGAGGCACTCAAGTCTAAAATGTAAGGGGGGACCCCACGCAAAAACACGTGAAAAAGTGGGGTTCCATCCTTAGCATCTAAGTCCTCCCTTCAAATCAAGAGCCCCTCCTTCACATCAAAGCCCACCTTTTACATCAGAATTCTCCCTTTCACATCAGAGTTGCCCCTTACCTCAGTAACCCCCCCCCCCCCCCCTTCACATTAGAAGCCTCTTTCTTTTACATCAGTGTCCCCCTCCTTTTAATCAGAAGCTACTCTTCACATCAGAAACCCTCCTTTCACATTAGAAACCCCCTTTACATCCGACTATCACAAAATTTCAAGGTGCCCCTGTGGAAGCTAGAAGGCTGCATAATTCACAGTTCTGAAGAAACTAACATTAAAATAACAACAAGTTACAACATGACTTACTTGCACAATTATATATATATATAACAATGACAATGTTTCTCTGAGGCTCTATTCACACCTAGGAGTAGTGGGATTGCACATCAAACACACAAAAATCACAGATGCACAATCACAAAACGTGCACAAATGGCACCCCAAATGCAGCCAGGAATACATGCGCTCCTCCTCCGCTTATGTGCGTGTTAAAATGCGCAGAAAAAGCACAGAAAATGCGGAAGGCATGTTGCAGATTGTGCTACATGCACTACTTTACCAAGTCTGCCACGCATATAGGAACCCATTGAAATCAATGGGGATGATGGCAAATGCAGAAAACAAAAGAGCACAAACATGACACGCTTTCCTGCTATGTATAGGTGTGACTGGGGCCTAAGAATGGTCATCCTGGAATACCACCTTGTATGTATGGACTAAACCATTGTCCATCGGCCAAAACTGGGGTACTCATCATATGTATAAAGGTATATTAGTTATAATTGGGATTCCATCTTGATAGGCCTAATCCCAAAATCCAGCATTCTTTTTTAGTTTTGCATATTACAGAATAAGCTTGATTTATTGGTATGGGCAACATAACTATAATCATTTGCAGAAATGTCCATATATAGAGAATAAAGTTCGGTTTTAAATTATTGTGTTTTTTTATATAGTTGTCTGTTAAAAAAGTTTTGGATCTTGTATACTGCTACTTGAATACTCTTTCTTTTGTTTTTGCTATCCAGTTAGTCGAACCGCTGACACCAAGTGGAACTGCACCAAACCAAGCCCAACTAAGGATCCTAAAGGAAACAGAACTAAAGAGGGTGAAAATCCTGGGATCAGGTGCTTTTGGGACAGTGTACAAGGTCAGCATTTTAATATTTTAGAGTAGAGTGTATCTACAGGTGAAACTCGAATAATTAGAATACCGTGCAAAGTTCATTTATTTCACTAATGCAACTTAAAAGGTGAAACTAATATATGAGATGGACTCATTACATGCAAAGTAAGATAATTCAAGCCGTGATTTGTCATAATTGTGATGCTTATGGCTTACAGCTCATGAAAACCCCAAGAACCCCAAATCCACAACCTCAAAAAAGTAGATTATTACATGCAATCAATAAAACAAGGATTGTACATAGAACAATATCGGACCTCTGAAAAGTACAAGCATGCATATGTACTCAGTACTTGGTTTGGGCCCCTTTTGCAGCACTTACTGCAATTACTATTGCACGATATTCTAATTATTCGAGTTTCACCTGTATATAGTTTGTGTGAATTTATTTAAAATTTACCTGCTCTGTATGAACTAAAGGTAAGACTTCCACGAGACATCATACGAATTAAAGCAATTTTTATAAGATCCGATAAGATCTCTTTTACCCCTTAAAAATATTTTTTTCCTATGCAGTTTGGTCATATTTCCACCCATGGTGCTTTTGGATTATGTTGTTTTGTGTGTCCATTTAATGGACCACATATAGAACGCATAAAATCTGGTAAAAATCTTTTACCAGATTGTGTGCCAGACATTCAGCCTAACTTTTCCAGGACCAGTACAGATTAACAGGTTTCTGAGATAAAGCACCTTTTGTGTATAAAGTAAGGGGTTCATCATCATGAGGACTGGAATTTAATGGCAGTAATGTGGCCTGTTCTGATAAATATGCCTAAAATATTAAGGGAACGCTTTCCAGAGAAAATATGGAGGCTACAATTGATTATGCCCCATTCATAAATACTAGTTGCTTGGTTGTCATGCTGACCCTCTGGCTTTAATGACGTGAGTCAGTGATCTTAAACAAGTATGTTGATAAAGCATCTGTCTCTTTTTAAAAGTTGCTAAAATAAGCTCAGGCTGTAAAAGAATAATATGAATACTCACCTCTCCTGCTCCCTACACTGCTGAACCCTACTATGTCTTGAAGAAATCCTTCTCTGAAGTGTCTTCTGAAACCAACACTTCCGAGAGCATCAACTTGCTGTATCCTCTCAGCACTTAGTGGTTCTCTTTAGCTGACCTCCACATTGCTAGAAGACACAGGAGGTTGGCGGAAGCACACAGTGAATCATCACTCCTAGAAGTGTCATTTTCGAAAGAGCTTTAAGGGAGGACCTTGGTACCGTGTTCAGTGGTGCAGGAGGAAGGAGAAGTATGTTTTTACTTTATTCTTTTATGGGGTGAGCTTCTTTGAGCAGCTTTAGTAAAGTAACATATTTCTGACTTTGCATTGACTTTCCTCATCTGCAAATTGTTTTCTGGGCCAGTGACTGAAAATATTGAAGAATACTGAAAATATTGTCCGTGGGACAACAAAATAGGCAGGTAATTTGCATTTTCAAAACTAAGAAGGCAATGGCAGTCCATATACTTTTCTCTTTAAAGGTTCACTGTACGGCACTTTTTTTTTTATTTTTTTATTTAGTGATATATTTTTTTTTTATTTAGTGATATTTTCCATACTATGTCAGTTTGGTTTGAAGAGTATAAATGGTACAATTGCTGAATGTATTATGATACAGGCTGCAAAACATCACTGTTACTTGCAGCAAGGCTTCTTTCAGATTGGAAACATTTTTAAATGTGCACATGTACAGATAGCAGCAGAAATTACAGTCTGTGAACCATAGGCGCGAGACATCTGAATAGCATTGAAGTGAATGAGTCACAGAATGGTGCATTGGCAAACATTTGAACATGGTGGCTTGGTTCACCTGATCTTTCTTTTAGGACATGGATGGTATGTTGCTGAACTCAATGTAAATATTGGAATGCTGCTTCAAGCAGTAAGACTGGAAAGTTACATTCTCGTTTTAAATCCAGAAGTGCTTTCTAATTGCTGTCCAGTAGTTTAGATGGATGCAGTCTTTCCAAGCTGCCGGCTACTGGGCTAGTGGAGCATAATATTTTAATAAAATCCCTGCCAACCATTGGTGATAGAAATAATAGGAAACAACTTAAAGAAAGACCATTATTGCAACAAGGAAAACATGTCCAACTATACATGCTTTTCTATATCTGAATGTCCATTTCAATAAAAATTAGTGTTAAAACTGATCCCTGGGATAAGCAAATATTTTATAATTACAAGAAGCATGTGTATTTTTACTTTACTTTACAGTTTAGGTGTGATTTGTGTATTTGTCCCAGATCTGTGCAGTAATCCAGTGTGAAATGTTTCCTCTGTGCAGGAGCTCCCTATAATAAAGACCAGTCGCTGTTTCTCTATCTTCTTGTGCAGGGTGACTGGTCTTGTATCCGCCCCTCCTGTAGTTTTCTGCAAACAGACTGTTGTGGGTGGGGCCTGATGGGTCCTCCCACAGCTCTGCTGTCTGAACAGTTTATGTGCTGCACAGTGTTGATGTCACCAGTAATTTAATGAAGTAAGAATTGTGTTTGCAAAGGCATTTGGTGCACACAAAAGGGGTTATTCACAAAGCTGCCAAAGGCAGCCGAGTGAATAACCCAGCCGAAGTGAAGTGAGCCGAACTAGATCCGGCTATTCACTACGGCTCAGTATGGCTGATTTTAGTCTTACATCGGCTGGCTTCAGCTGCACTTCGGTCAGCCAAAGTGCAGAAGGACTTCGACTCAGCTGATCCAACATCTGGATCGGCTGAGCCGAAGCTCCGGCAGTTCACTTGCTGTCGTTTTCCCCTATTCACATAGGGGCCAAACGGCAGTGAGTGAATAGCCGAATGCCGCCGAGTGGCATTCGGCTCAGCTGTTCTGCTTGGTACCTCCGTGGTACCGAGCAGAATAGAAAATAGTAGAAAAAAAGGTTAACATTTTTAAAAAAAATGTTAATAAATAGTAAAATTGAAATATAAATAAAGATATTTTTAAAAAGAAAAAATAATTGGGCAGCGCTAACAATGACAGAGGTCACGGCCGCCTCCCCCAGTTGTTATTGTTTAATGACATCAGCATCCCCAGGTCATTTGGGGACGCTGATCTGTCATTACAACTGGGCAGAGCCAGCCGTGGGATCATGGTTGGCCCCGCCCAGCTGTAATTTCCGGGGATTACGGCCGACCTTCAGCAGGCCGTTCGCCTCGCTTCGGCTGTCACTTCGGCTCAGTCGGGCTGAAGCATATGCCTTTGGCTCAGCTGAGCCGCTCGGCTGCCATTGGCTGCTGTACAGGCTACGACTGAACCGAAGGGCTCCGGCGGCCAAAGAGAGCTGAAGGCTCCTTCGTGAATAACCCCCAAAGTGAATTTATATCTTTGTGGCTATTAAAAATACATTATAATTGAAGAATTAGGCCAAGTGTTCAGCTTTAAAGAAGAACTCCAGACATATTAAACTTTAACCATTGCATAATATTGTGACCTTCTTAAAAACACAATTGCATTAAAGCCTTTTATGTCCTATTACTAACTAGAAGTGTTTTGAAAGCTCACAAGACTGTAATGCTGGGTTCCAGCCTAAGGGTATAGGTGAACCAGGCCTAAGGGTATAGGTTTCTTGAAGCTCTTACAGCTGCAAAGACCTTTCCTGTGCACACATGCAAAACACTCAGGGGGTGATTTATCAAAACTGGAGCAGCTGTACATGGCAACCAAACAGCTTCCCTCCTCAGTTTGTTCAGTTAAGATTTGAAAATAAAAGAGAGAGGCTGATTGGTTGCCATGCACAACTTCTCCAGATTTTGTCAGCTCCAGTTTTGATAAATTCCCTTCTCAATATGTAAAGCATTCCTCTATAAAGATTGGAAACAACCTGTGGAATCATGGCTTCCTCCTGACAATGTGAAACAGCTTTTCTCACTGTACCCTCAGTTTGCCCTTGATCCTAACTATTTAGGGATTGTTGGGGAATTCCATTTCACATGGTCTTGTGCACCTATTGTATGGGTTCTGATTTTAGAGTTCCCCGGGATTTGATCGTGCTGCCAGCTTCAAACAAGTATTTGGGAATAAAGAATCACACAAAATATATACAAAACTAAGAAACAGAGGGCAGAGCATCAACCAGTAAGAATCATGCACGTGTATATAAACTAATATCAGCTCCTATGGGTCATAGAACAGTCACACAGGTGGTAACAGAAAATGAGATAAGAAGACAGTTGTAATGATACAAGAATGCAGCTGCGAACAAGTGAAAGAGTTTTAAGGCCAGTTTATTCAGAACCTTCTAAAAAGCACAAAATATTCTATTAATTCTCCTATGACCTATTGCTGGATTATATCCAGTGTGGAAATGATTCCGTTACAATAGACTAGGAGAATTAGTCTAATGATTGTACCCACATCCTTCGCCTTGAGTCTAATTTTACAGAACAGTGTCTCAAGTTGAAGGAGGATCCTTCTGTTCGCTAATCTTCTTAAATAACCTCTGCTCTTCTGGAGGTCGCTAGATCTTCACCTCCCCCTGCGTCTGAACCAGGCAATCCATTCCCAAAACTGGACTCTGTTAGGTATCTCTTTCTTGACCACATGGTTTATTTTCCCTGGAGTCAAAGTATTGACTTTCAAATCTATGCATATGATGTGCCCCCCTTGAGGAATGAGTGTTCCTCAACTACATGTGGCAGAGCCTCACTTAATATTATAGAGGAAGAGGCTGTCAGCTTCAAGTTGGAAGCTGACAGCTTTTTCTCCATTCAGATCGGCTTTTAGCCGGTTACACAACATGGAAAGCCTGTCATGGACGGAGCACTGCCTGCTAATTAAAGGCAGCTCTGCATATGGCTTTTGACAGATAGATAGGTTACACAGCAGCGGGTTTCACCACTTTGCAATAGCCAATAGCAAACTAGCTATTGCACCGGCCCTCTGCTGCTGTAAATCACTAAAGGGGACCTGATGGAGAACTTCAGGTCCTCTCTGCTGATTGACAGCAGCAGTGGGCGG